CGAGTTAAACTATTTTTAAATAGTTAAAATATTTTAAATAGTTGAAATAATATTCGACCCGGATCGAGTTAAACTATTTTTAAATAGTTAAAATAATTTAAATAGTTGAAATAATATTCAAATATTTTAAATAGTTTAACTCGATCCGGGTCGAATACTATTTTAACTATTTTAAAATATTAATTTATTCAAATCAAGTTGAGGGGATTGAATATAAACAATATTTTCTTGGTAGGGCGGGTTGAATATAAACAATATATTTTAAAATATTAATTTATTCAAATCAAGTCGTTTTAGTGTTGCTTCTATTTTTATTATATTTTAAATGGTCAAAGTAACATATTTATTATATTCGAACCACCCAGAAAATAATATATTTTAAATATATTATTTGCCCCGACTTGAATCGTTTTGTGTTGCTTCTATTTTTATTATTCCAGCTTGCATTAAATTATAAGATAAATATTAGTTGAAGTAACCATTATATTAGAAAATAACCTTGAGTCGGTGGTTGAGGTTGTTCCTTATCATCCAAGGAGGTAGAGGTTTGATTCTCCCCACCCACAATGCAGAATAATTTTGTTTTAATTTGCTTTCTTTCCATACAAATTAAATTAATAAAAACCCTCCATTGATATCGTGACACGTGTCGTCATATAAATGGAGGATTAAATATATTGAATTAATTTAAAATTATGACCACTTTGATAGATTGTGTAAGTAATAAGGACAAATGTAAATTATACCAATTTTATTAACTGTCACGTCATCACTTTCGTTAACTATTAAAAGCTAGTTGCCAGATTAAATGCATTTAAATAGTTGGGTGGTCTGATTGATAAGAATTCAAAAATAATGGTCGAAATGAAAAAGGGCTATAGTTGGATGGTCTCTGATATATTTACCCTTTTGTTCTTAGACATTTAGTCTCTTTATTTTTCAGATTTTTAAAATTAAATTCAACTGTTAACATCATTATGTTTTTTAATCTGGGTTCATTACATTTGAAATTGAAAAAAAAACCCGGTGGCCACGTAGCAATAAAAGAGTTCTAATCACTTGATTTTAATAAAAACATTTTAATGGTGTTAACATTTTGAACTTGACATTTTAAATTGCAGAAAATAGAAGGATTAAATTGTTAAAATAAAAGTAGAAACACAATTCCAAATACACGAAAAAAGTATAGGGATTTGGGGTGTATATATATATATGTTAAACATACATGTTAGTCTGAAGAGTTAGAAATAGAGGTTTTAAGAAGAAATTGGAATAGTTAACACCATCAATTATTTGCACTTACCAGTGATATTGTAAAGGAAGAGGGTTTGAATTAAATCAAATCAAAGTATAGTGACTAAATGTCTTATTTTAGCATAATATAGAGACCAAAACATAGTTTGACCTTTTAGTTAAAACACGTAATTAACATCAGTTATTGATTTAACTAAATAAAATAATTAAATCAATAACTAAGGATAAAGTATATAAATAGTCCTTAAACTTTTAGGGCGCTTACATTTTGGTCACCCAACTTTTAAAACTTGCAATACAACCATTGAACTTTTAGTTCATTTTCAGTAAGGTCCTTGACATTAACCGTCGTTTGTTTTAGCTGAGGTGGCACATTAACTCCGTTAAACCCCCGATCTCCTTTTTCTTCTTCCTTCTTCCTCTTCTTCTCTCTTCTTTCACACCCCGTTAACCTCACTCTTCTTTTTCTCTCACACCCCTGTTAACCCCCATTCTTCTTCTTCTTCTTCTTCTTCTATTCTCCCGCTCGCGTCCACCATAAGATTTTGATGCAACTCACGTCCTCTGAACCCTACAAAGTCGTTACTTTGCCTATGGCTTGTGCCACCGTCGAAAATGGAAGAGTTGACGTTCGCAAGAGAGTTCAACGGTCCTTGAAGATTGCTATCATCCTCTATCTGTGATGATCTTAGGGTTTCTCTACCACTTTCGTTATCATCGAAATTATTTCCAAAGTTTAGGGATAACATTAGTCTATCGCATTTTGTCCTACTCGATAATAAACTCACAAATCCCCTTAACAAAGAGGAAGCATTATTGATTTTGTTGCTTGTAGTTGAACCTATTTGTGTAGTTTTTTGAATCAATGCAGTGGTAAACATGTGAGGACAAATATTCTCATATTGTATTGAAGTGCTATAAAGAGAGGAGAGTCCTAAACCAATATGATCTCCCATGCATTCAAGTTCATTATTACGTATAATGCTGGCACCAATGGCATTAGAGAAGAATCCTAAATTGAACAGATTTTTGAAAGTGTGGGAATTGTTAGTAGAACTGCCTTAAAGGTGGAGAAGTTGCAGAAGCCCATTGATATGATATCGATTATATGTTTCGAGTCATATATGTGAATTCCCGATCGTGATTCTAGTAAGAACTCCACAGTACTTTAAATGTAATATGAAATTCGCAAACAACGTTGTAAAATAGAAATAGATAAATAAAATATGGAAATGGAAAGATGAAAGATATGTTGAAATGGATTAGCAACGTAGGAAGAGTGATGGTTGTGATTAAGGAAAATAAAGGATGAGAAGGTTGGTGAAGATAGTATGGAGTTGGTGTATAGTATGAAGAATCTCAAGGAAATGGATTGTAACCCTGTAACTATATAAGAGTTAAGAACCAACAATATAAAGAGATGGAATCGAAGTGGAAGTAGATGGAACGTGACCCACTAGCTATAGATGAGCTAGAACCAACGTTATAATAAAAGGAAATGGATGAAGACAACAATACTATCTTGAAGCCGATAAAGTTCTACAAGAGAACAAGAATGAAAGAAACCTCTCAAAGATGTTTTATATATTCAAATGTGTGTCTACAAATGATCCCAAAGGTGCCTATTTATAGTGTGTCTAAGCAACATATGAAAATACTCAAAAGATGAAAACATTCTCATCAACTTAGCGATAAAATGCACTTGAATGCTTTGTCTTCTTATCTTCAAGGTTGGCTGAATATTCTAGATCATTTTGGGGATGAATCTAGACAATTTAAACCTGAATTTGGCCTTAATTTCGCCCAAGGGGTGGAAGACTCTTGCTATTCCATGCTGAAAATTGTCTTAACAAGTGAATTAAATCACCAGTCATAGCATGCTCCCTTGAAGAATATGAACAACCCTTGAATTTAGATGATAACAATCAGCTTTGAATGCCTTGAATGGGTGAATTATGAGTCCTTCAATGGCTTGTCACTTAGCTGAAGTTGAAAAGACTCTCCCTTGGCTCAAACTCATCCAAATCATCAATGCATAAAATTCCCGTAACAAAATTCCAGCATGCGTTGTCTTCAATAAATCGATCATATCTCAAGCTCCCAATATCGGATTAAGGTGATTCAAAAGGCGTTGGAAAGCTAAGAGATAGAGGAATAATGTCCAATTGATTTCTAGAACCAAACACACCTGTATCGCATCCATAATTGGAATACATTCTGACTGACATTCTTGCATATGATGAAACCGTTCAACTTCTCTCATGCACCTAGACACAAAGGTGAACTTTATTCAATATTTAATTGAAAACATGCATGAAACAATTAAGAGTTAATTTAATAAATGAACTAGTTTGATGAATGAACTAGTTTAATTAATGAACTACTTCCCTAAATGAACTAGATGATTTAAATGCAATGCAAGCTTGAATGAACAACACACTTATTAAATGCAATGAATGTTATGCAATCTTCAAATTCTCATGCAAATTCATGCATAAGCAACGTAAAATGTTCCTCCCTTATTACTACTCCTTCATCACGTTCCAAACTTGATGTAAACATACTCTCCATGGCTGCTTGAAACTCCTTAGCCCTTGCTCGTGTGATGGGCCACTTGGGTACTTCTCCGGGTCTTTTCTATTGGCGATCATATCACCCATGCAATGGTTTGTTCAGATATGACACGTAGCCATGGTATTGGTGATGAAACCCTTGGTTTACAACATCACCCATGAAAAACATAGATGAAGGCATGTTCTGTAATGAAGAAGAATTCGATGGAGCGATAAAGAGATCAAACTTTGGTGGTCCAGAAGTACTCCCTAATCGCAACAGATTACTCAATGGGTAAACTTGATTCTGGTCTTGCAATGGCCCTAAACTCATTTGATGATTACTTTCAAAGAGACAATGATTGCCCATTGTGCTTAAGTTGGTGGGGTGTCTAGCACTCTCTGGAGCCAGTGCATCACAAAAAGCTGGGTGAGTGATAAAACCATCACGTCTGCAGTACCAGTAAAATGGAAAAGACAACTTTGATTAATAGGGCTTAAAGTTAAAAAAATGGAATTAGTAGTTGTAGTTAACAAATGCATGGGGATAAAGGACCTTATTTTCACCATCTTTCCAATATTTTAACAGAAAATAAGGGCAAAAACTCTTGGTTTAATCTAAAAAAGAAAAATGAATGAATTCAAAGTTGAATTTCCATTTTGAGGAATGGATGTTTGATAAATGAAGCGTGGGAAGTATTTCCTGGTTGTTAAACATACATGTATTTGTTATGCAAATAGAAGAAGAAGAAGAAGAAGAAGAAGAAGAAGAAGAAGAAGAAGAAGAGAAGAAGAAGAAGAGAGAAGAAGAAGAAGAGAGAAGAAAGGAGAAGAGGAAGAAGAAAAAGAAAGATGAAAGAACAAGAAGAAGGTTGAGGGATTTTAACGGAGTTAACATGCCACACCAGCTAAAATTAATGGAGGGACCTTATTGAAAACGAACTAAAAGTTCAGTGACTGTATTGCAAGTTTAAAAACTTGGGTGACCAAAATGCAAGCACCCTAAAAGTATAGTGACCATTTATATGCTTTACCCATAACATAATTGATTTAAGGGTAATTAATATCCGATGAACTGATAAATAGAGCTCTAAAATCCATTGAAATGGACACCGTACTGCATTTTATTTAGCAGAAAACTCCAACCTCCAACACAGTCGCTTTACCCAAAGCAAATGTTGCTTCCATAATCAACGAAACAGCAAAACATTTCGAAATAATTAAAACCCAGAACCAGAAGAACTACCAAACTTCGATTTCACTGACGATTGTTTTGTCTTTTCGGGTGTTTTTTTTCTCTCATCTTCTTATTCCTCGTATCATTTTCCAGTCGTCGGTTTTAGGAAGAACCAGAAGATTCAACAATGGATGATCAAGGCGAGAGCAAGTCCGGGATCCGGCAGTTCATGAGATTAAAAGAAATCCTTCAAAAGTGGCAACCTGTCGCGTTATGTTCGATGCCGGAAACGGATACCCCGCACTCGGGAGAAGATCCCGGGTTTTTCTCACCGGCGATCAACAGGAGGCTAACAGATGTTATGCGTTACGATTCCGATGAGGACAGCAGCCACGGTCCAGAGCCACCGGCCGACGTCCCGAAGGGATATCTGGCGGTTTACGTGGGACCGGAGCTTCGAAGGTTCATCATCCCCACAAGCTACCTCAGCCATCCGGTCTTCACGATCTTGCTGGAGAAGGCGGAGGAGGAATTCGGGTACGATCATAACGGCGGACTTACTCTCCCCTGCGAGATCGAGACGTTCAAGTATCTGCTCAAGTGCATAGAGAATCATCCTGTTCACACCTCGGCTCCCGAACAGGCATTTTCTTAATCACTTTGCATCGCACATTTCAATTTTCCACCACATTATTCTCCAAACTTCACCTTAATTCAAAACTTCCTTTTCATTTTTTTGCAGCTGCAGATTCACTAGAATTGTGAAGTTGAACATTGGAGCAAGCTCACCATGTAAGCGTTTTAGTTTATTACTTCATTTGTTAATCGATAAACCACAGAAAACGTTGAATGTCTGAATTTGATTCCGTTGCTATGTTTTCGTGTGTATAATTTTCTGGCTGAATTGAATGTTTGGAACCTTGGATGAAGAAGCACATGGTACTACAGTGTGATTGCATGGAAAGTGAAGTGCAATGCCAGTGATTCTACATGCATGTAATAGAGTATTGCATTGTCATGTGGGTTTGGATTGAGCTGTCCCACTTTTGTCTTATTGTTGCACCATCACTACTCTGGTTACCCATGAGCTCTTATGATTGTTTATTTCATATTTTATTATGAATCCTCCAAGAGTCTTATTCAATTGTTCGCGCTGCTCTCTTCATCAAATTGCACATGATCCAAAAGATTGCTTGCTTTTCTCATCAAGTCAATATCATATTAGTGGCTTTTTGAGTCGAGTTAATATACAATCGGTTGGTTTTTTAATCGTTTTAATATTAGAGATAGATACGGGTCGGTTTTCGGTGAATCCGACCCGACCCAAAAAATATACACCCTCCACACGAAACGAATTAGGTCTGAAATAATATATTTATTAAAAAAGTATTAATTTTATTCAATAAAAATAGGGATTTAATAGAAAAAATAATATATAGAGGGTCTTATTGTAATTATCTATAAATATATAAGGTAAAATTATTTTTTTCCTGGGTCAGGCCAGATATTTTTCACCCTAAACCCGAACTCAACCCGACCTGAACATAACCTCTAAAAACCCAACCCGGCTTGATTTTTTTTATAAAAAAAACCCCTATCAGATCGAATTCGGGTCTCATGTCCATCCTAGTTAATACCACATTGGTGAGTTTTTAGTTTGGACTAACCTTTGGATCTTTACGAAAATTCGGATAAAGATGAGTATGAGTCCAATGAAATTAAAAATAGATAATAAAAAAAGATGATAGTTAACTTACTAGTAGTATAATAACATTGAACCATGAAGTTATCACCAATTATGATGGTTGTATAATAATATTGAGTCATTAAATTACCATCAACTGTGTGGTTATTAACTATTATTATAATATAAAAAGAGAATAAAACATACAAGATTTTATTAAATATCACATTACTAAAAGTAGATAATAATAAAAATAAATTATTTGTTCACTTTGACGATCATCAAGTTAAAACAAATCAATGATTAATTTAGATAATATTTGGATAAATCAAATTTGGATTACTTTTAGTTTAAGTTAATTTTAAATCGAGTTATTTTCAGTTTGGATCAAATTAGATATAGATTCATATATGTCCAACTAAAATTTAAGTTGATTTAATTTAATTTTATTTATTTTAGATTTTGGATTAAATTTGAGTCATGATTTATATATAATTTTTGATGGAGTAAATCGATTCAAATTATTAAGTTTGCTGGGTCTAAAAATATTTACCAAAATTTACAAGTCACAAGTTAAAATGCATTAGCCTCTAATCTAGCACGGACCAACTTATCTTAGTGGTTAAAGAAATCGTTGTTGTTTCTAGAAATCACGGGTTCGAGCACCAACGATTGCAGCAAGGTGATTGAGAGTTTATTGTCAAACAGTTGAGAGTATTTAAAACAGATACTACTTTGTAATCACCATAGCTTAATCAAAAAGAAAAAACCTATAATCTAATGATTTAATAAGGGTGTTTATTTAGCTATTGGACCGAGAGCCTAAAATGATTAGCAAGTAACCATATAAAAGCAATTCCAAGGCTGGCCAATGAACTAACACATATCTTTGAACTATTATGAATGGCACCTAAACAAAATACTACTGATCGTATTAGCCGGATTAACAATTAGTCAAGTCGAGTTAGAATATTATTGAATTCGATTTGATTTAAAAATTTTCAAATTGAGCTTGATTCAATTCGTAAATTTGTGAGTTTAAATTTTTTAAGTTCAACTCGAAATAAAAAATTGAAGCTCGACTTGAAAGCCCATGAGCTTATATATATATATTCATGAAAGATCACGAGTTACTTGATACCCTATTTGAAAATTCAAGAGGTTGAAATTGTCAAGTTTGACTCAAATTCTAAATAAAAAAAATAAAGCTAGACTTGAGCTAAAAGAGTGAACTCGAAACATCATAAACTTAACTCGATTGATGCTCAACTCTAACCTTAAATACATAGAAACATTATATTGTGTTTTAAAAAACAACCTATTGTATTGTTTTAGTCTTACGAACATTTAAGAGATATATGTTTTAGCCCAAATGAGATGGGACGAAGAGTGAAAAAAAATTAAGGGTAAATTGTGCATTTAGTACTTAAACTATTAATGTTGATCCGTTTTAGTATCTAAACTTTTAATCTTTTTAAAATCATACCTAAATGTTTACTTTTTGTTTCATTTATCACCGTTAAAAACTTAGTGTTAAATTTTGAATTTTTTTGAAAGTTTAGGACTAAAACGGATAAAAACCGATAGTTTAGGTAGTAAATGAGTTAAGTTTTCAACAACATGATACTGAAATGAAACAAAACCTAAACGTTAGACATAATTTAAAAAAAAAAAGTTTAAATACTAAAATAGACCAAAATTAATAGGTTATATACCTAAAATTTAATTGGTGTTGGTGACGTAAGGGGGAATCGAACCCTTTTCCTAAAGACTTAATAGATTCTCAGGTGCTGCCATATAACTTAAAATATAAATATATTTTGAATTATAAGGGTTCTTACCAAACAATGCAAATTGATTGTGGATTGGTCGGTTGGTTGACGTGGGACCAAAAAGCGTAACCCAACTTCCTCCATATTTTGAAGAAAAATCAAAGATATTATCAATAAAAAATTATTTAATTATTATGTTTGAAAAATATATAACATTTAACACATCATTTTCTTTAGAGAAAATCGCCACAGTGACCAAAAATGCCTTATAATATACGATTTTAACCAATTTTTTTTGGATTTGCCAAAATGACCAATAAAATCGCAACGCGAAATAAAAATCGCAACACGATCCCCAGAATCGCAAATCAGTTTCCAAAATCGCAACGCGATTCTTGAAAATCGCAATGCGATAGTACAAATTCGCATTGCGATTTTCCAGAATCGCAACGCGAATATGAAAATCGCAACGCGAACACATAAATCGCAACGCGTATCCGTAAATCGCAACGTGTATCCGTAAATCGCAACGCGTATCCGTAAATCGCAATGCGTATCCGTATATCGCAACGCGTATCCGTAAATCGCAACGACAATACGTAAAATCGCAACGCGTATCCGTAAATCGCAACGCGATTTTTAAAGCGCCATTATAATCGCTACGCGTATTATATTTTCAAATTACAAAAACGAATATTAAGACAAAATCCCGTAATCGCAACTCATAACCTAAAATCACAACTCAGTCCCATCTCCATCTCTCACTCTCTACGGCGAAATCCGTCCCCATCTCCGAAGATTTCCGTCCCCATCTCCGGCGAAATCCCTCACAACCATTCACGGTCAGAAATCCCTCACAATATTCAGAAATGGAAAATCAACCTCCGAGGGTTAGTTTTTTTAATTATTTTTATTTTGAAATTTTTGCATTATTGTAGGTTTTTCATATTGAAACTGATGATAAGTTTACTGGTCATTTCAATAATAGATTAACCATTTCACTTAGATTTCATTTCGCGTTGCGATACTCTCGTTGCGATTTTCATTTCGCGTTGTTATTCTCTCGTTGCGATTTTCAAGTTAGTATTTGTCTTTGTCTTTGTTCTGTCTTTTGGTTGAAGTAATGCAATCCATTCAAGTTTCAATTTGCAGAAGAGTCGCAACGAGAGAAATGAAAATCGCAACGTGAAAATGACTATCTGCAACGAGAAAAATGAAAATCGCAACGAGAGAATCGCAACGCGAAATGAAAATCGCAACGCGAAACCAAAATCGCATTGCGATTTTCATTCGCGTTGCGATTCTCTCGTTGCGATTTTCATTTCGCGTTGCGATTCTCTCGTTGCGATTTTCATTTCTCTCGTTGCGACAGTCATTCTCTCGTTACGATTTTCATTTCAACCAAAAGACAAAACAGTGTTGCAAATTTTAGTTTCAAGAATAAACTACTACTTTTTATGTTTATTGTTTTTGGTATATCTTCACAGTGTAGTTTTTGGTATATCTAACTTGGTATGTTTATTGTTTTTGTAGAAATTTTTTTCGGCTTCATTGACATTAAGGAATAAAGTTAGCCTAGCCACTACAATTGCTTCGAAGCTTTCACCTGCACAAAGACAATTGTTTGAGGAAACCTGCTTCGGGCCATGGCTGAGAGTACAGCATCCGGGTGGAGATGCTAATTTGACCCATTTGTGGCTTCAGACCATGACATCAAATCTACCCGACAGTATACAACGTGGTGAGGAAGAGATATGGTTTAATTTTCCACCAGCGTATACTTGTTTTGGGCAGAAGGAGTTCTGCTTAATCACTGGTCTACGATTCGGACACGATGATGTAGGCCGGTACACTCGTCATATCGCCCGCCCATCATGGTTATCCCGGGTTTTTCCGGATGAGTCAATGGAGAAGCCGAACCTACACGTCGACGACCTGAAGAAATTGTTTAATAAGAAAGATGGTTTCACTCGGATGGATGACGTCGATGTTATCCGAGTATGCCTTCTACTACTTGTGTATGCCGGCTTTTTAGGCAGAGAGGCCAGACAACCTATTCCTCGGGAGCTAATAATATTGGTAGAGGACCTGAATGCATGGAATCTGTTTCCGTGGGGTTCGTATATATGGAAAGCTACCTGGACTAAGTTGTGTACTGCCTTTGATGACCGCAAAAGTTTGCGTGGCGATGGGTCGAAA